CTCGATCAAAAACTAATAGAAATGTCAAAGTGTTTTTCCTTGTTTTTTAGGCAATAAAGAAAAGAGACTTGAAAAATTGTGAACATGAACTCAGGCTGGCAATTTTAATTTCACTAGCAATAACAAAATCATCAAAAGATCGTGTTTCGATATCAATTAAATTTTCGATAAAAAATACATAAATTCATTAATTATGAGTCCTCACTAGAGGGGATAATTCCCCAACTTCATCAGAATGGGGAAGCCCATACTTCTCTAGGAAAATCTTTTCAGAAATCGTATACAAATTGAAGTTAATTTAGTTTTCCTCCTAAGCAAAATCTTACTTTCCAGAATGTCAAAAACCCTTGGCCCAGGTTTTAGCCTTCGCTCAACATTGCAAATAAGCAGCCATGGGTTGTTAACTATAACAGATATATCCAAGTTTCCTCTACTAAGCATCACCTCTGTTACCTCTCTAATCTTCCTCTTCGATATGACAAAGGTCTGAGGTGACCTCCTAAAAGCAGAAACAATACCATCTTCTTTAAATCCCAAGCTCCTGAAGCACTTCAACTTAAGCAGCTCCAAAGTCTCCATGCTCATTGAACCAATCGTCAGAATTAGAGGAAGAAACATCTTAGATTTCCTATCAAATCCAATCTCATCAACTCTTTTCACAAACTCCTTAAAACTATCAGGCTTATGGAGCCAAAACCTAGGGAAATTAAACACATCGAAACATTTGTGTAGAACTAACTCCAAAACTCTTCAAAAATTCTATAATAGGCATCATAGTCTTCTCCAAATCACATTTCAGAAACCACCCAGATGTCTTCAACAGCTTAGCCACACTTGCATTTGATCCTGAAACACTCTTCAACACCAAAATCGATGGTACAAGTTTATCTACACTTCCGTTAAAAATCCAGGGATCAGAAGACATTACATCAGCAATGTTAGTTGATGAAAAACCCAAATCTTGAAAAACCTTGATTTTGGGTTTAACTGTATTAACAATGCTAGCAATGAGTACATTAGGCACTAATCATTTTCTCAATATGGGAATTGCTGTACCACTTTCTTTAAGAAATAAGAGTACAGAGTCCGAGTTTTCAGGTTTTTTCAAATATTTTGTTGTTAATGAGGCTTTTAAAGCAGCGTCAGGGGAGAATTGGTGCCGATTGATCAAGTAATCAGCTAAAGTAACTTTTGATTTTTTTCCATTTTCGGGGCGTCAAGAAGAAGAATAAGAAGAGAAGAAGAAGAGCGAGAGTGATGAGCATGCAATTGGTGGTTTGTGGAGGTGTGAAGAGTGCTTGAAGTACACAAAAACTAGGGTTTTGCAAATACAAGAATTCATCAATGTGGAGATATTGTTAGCATACAAATTATAAAGAACAGGGTTTGAAGATAAGAAAACAAAACTTGCCTGTTATTGGAATGTAAGACTCAAAGATTGAATCTACCGCTGTAAAGAAGCAATTGAGAGTAGTTTCAAAAAGGGTTCGGGATTTCGACTGTTTTATTTGAGGTTTTTTTTTTTTTTTTTAGCTTTAGCCCCTTTCTGAGAACATTAGGATTTTGCAGGGATTTTTCTTGTGATGGACATAGGGTTCGGGCTTGAGTTTGTGTTGGTCTGGGCCGATTTGAATTCAATTCGAAACCCATAATCTACCATAAGGAATTAAACTTGAATAACATAAGCCGCTGCGTCATGCTTATTGCAAATGCAGTGCAGACTGCAGTCATCATTTGATCTTCAAATATGCAAAGCAATTGCAATCATCAGTAGCTATGATTGGAAAGAGCTGTTTATGATCCGCCAATTTCAATTAACAAACTTATAGTAGAAGCATCATCATATTTATAATCATCCATCATTTCTCACTCCCAAACCTTCACTTTTCCCAAGTTTTGAAACCAAAATCCCGGCTATCCCAAAACAGAAGAAATCACTTTGAAATATAACAGAGGGTTACTAATCAAATTTGTATTAAGACATGCATGCGTATTCTGTTTGCGTGTGTGGAACTGGAACCAGTAAACAATGTGTACTATCATTCTGGGTTTATTATAAGGCATCGACATCGGTTTAAGACTCTTTACTATTTCACCAATACGTATTCCATATTATTAAGTACATGATTAAAACGGAAAAATAACACGAAATTAAAAAAAATCAGTATGGCCAAAACTATATTTTTGTAAGCACTATGCAGAGGTAGGGTCTTAAGGGCCATGGCAAAGGATATATGTCATTGCCTTATTGGTGATGAGATACATACAGGATTTAAATCATCATCATTTTAAGACGATGCTATCTTGATGGAAAGAAACCATATTATATAAAATTAAATATGAAAAATGATTTGAGTAGATTTATCATCTTATTTGGGTAATCATGCGTCAACAATGGGTTCCATTATGATTATGAAGGGCCGTCCTAGACTCCTACTTACTCATTTCTTCTCAAACCATACTGCATTGCATGGAATCAAAGATTAGTGCATTTAATTAAAAAGGGAATCGAACCTTGTTATCTACGGTTACAAATTAAATTCACAACCAATGATTCTTGGTAAATCAATTAAGCTCTTTGATATCATCAACTTCAATTCTTCAATAATATCAATATCTTCGGTGTAACCTTCTATCATAATTATCACGACTGTTGAATTCGACTTATAACCAGTAGGTTTAAGTCATGATTAACATTGAATCAATTAAGTCTTATTATTATATTACAACTACCTTCTCTTAATTAACAAAGACCAATTTGCAATTTCTCTCCCAAGTATGCTTTCAACAAAAACAATTAGAGTAAATGACTTTTTCTGATGTATAAGCTTTTAAAATACCACTTTATTACCCAAATTTATATTCAGTTTTTTATTTCGGCATCGTTGCAACCCTAAACTACCATCATTGTCTTCCTCGATCATCACTCACCAAAACCCCTTAAACCCTACTCTCATCGACCCCATCAATCGTCTACAATCAAGCGATTAAGGTTTATGCAGCCGCCCCTCCCAAGTCAAATTTTAATAAATCTCAACCACCAAAATCTAACATTCCACTATCAAAAGACTCAATGGCCTCTCCTCTTTAAAAGCCTCAACAGTCTAAACCGGGCTTGCTCTTTGTTCATTGTCAAAATATAAATTTAAATAATAAAATGGTATTTTAAAAGTCTGTAGGTGATAAAATGTCATTAAACCATTATTTGGGTGGGATAAAAATCGTTAACTCAAACAATAATAACAAATGCTCCCAAGTCCCACATATCAAACACTTTTAAAAGCTAAAACTTCTCCACTGCCATGCCTTTTTTCCCCAGCCCTACATGTCAAACTTATATACAGATTGAAGAACAGAACATGAAGGATTATAGAATAAGAGATATATACTTTACATACTTTAGTATATTCATTTATTGTATCTACCTAACGTTAGGCTTGGCTTCTTCCGCATCCGCCCGCATGCTTTTTGAGTCTGTCCTTAAAAAGTTCCAAATCAAAAGTGAAAACGGCTCGCTTCGGCTTCTGTGTAAGTGCAATTGTAAAAGCTGCCCTTCTCCATACTATCCACCATTTTTTTTCTTTGACCACCGTCCTCCCTGAAACAACATTAACTACTAACCAATGCCCACTTGTTGGTACATGGATACAATCAAAGACTTTTTGAGATAAGACCATAACTTGTGAATATAATTTAAAGGGTTTAGTTGTCCAAGCTGCTCAAATTAATGCGTCTAGAAACGGTAGAAAAACCATTAACCAGTATTATTGGGGAGAACAACGATGGGTTCCAGAGAACCCCACAGACTAACGAGCATCTATCTTAATAGTTATACAAAAATAATTAAAAATCATAAAGAAGAAGATAGGAGAGAAGAGGGTGATTCGTGGAAGGTCCCAAATTAAAGAAAAGGAAGTCTAATCCTAACGCAAGGTGTAGTGGGTGGAGGGGGAGAGGGGGCCACCCCTTTTCCTACACAACTCTCAAGTGCATTAGTACTCTCATTATGGCTATCTTACTTAATTCATCTCAATTAAATTTCCCTCTTAAAACTTTGGTTTGCCTTTCATCTTCTTTGATTTATTATGATATCAATTTTTAAACCTATCATTAAACTCCGTCTAAAATCTGATGACCATATTCCTTTCCACATCTAAAGGCTTTGCTTTTAATAACCCATAATATTATTCTAAGATAGGCAGGCGTGACTTGACAGTCCAGTACTAACAAAATAAATCCCAATTCAATACAGGGTAAACGAATTTTTTCACCCACAAACTTTTAAAATATCATTTTACTACTCAAATTTATATTTTGTTTCTGATTCTAGCATTGTTGCAACCCTACACCACCACTATTCTCTCATCACTCACCAAAACCCCTCAAACCCTACTTCTGTCAATCCTGCCAATCACCTACAATCGAGCGATTAGGGTTTGTGCAACTGCTCCTTTCAAGTCAAATTCTAATAAATCTCAATCACCAAAATCCAACCTTCCGCCATCAAAAGACTATCGGTCTCTTCTTTTCAAAAACTCAAACAGTTTGAACCGAGTTTACTCTTTGTTCTCCATCAGAATACAAATTTAAGTAATAAAATAGTATTTTAAAAGTTTATAGGTGAGAGAGTGTCATTAAGTCATTATTTGTGTGGGAAGAAGTCGTTAACTCATTCAATATATTTGAAGGGTGTGGTTGGAGATATGTGTGGGCACTGGCACTGGCACTGGCACTGGCACTGGCAATAGGATATATATGAATATGAGTAGTGTTTGTAACTGGCATGGGCTCACAAGTTGACGGTATGATTGGATCATGAAACAAAGCTCGTGGGCTTTAACTTTCCCATTCTACTTTCTTTAATATTTAAATGTGTTTGGCAAGGATTAGAAATAAAGTAAAGGGAAAGAAAGAAGCTCACTTGTGACCCCATTTCAAAGGGCAGCAAAAAGGAGTGTTTGTGTGTTAGAAAATTGAAGAAACAGATGGTAAAGAGGAACACAAGAAAAGGAGAAAAGCAAATAAAGCTGTAAATGCCTCCCTCCTTTCTTTTAAAATACCATCTAAATTCCTAGCACACACAAACCATACAGTTCATAAAGCTCCACCAAGTTTTAAATCAGAGCGAAGAAGAAGAAAACAAGTGAAACAAGATCAAACAAAACCACCACCACCATGAAAGGAAGAGAAGCCAAAGGACCTCCATCAACTGATCTCTTAGTATGTTTTCCATCTCGAGCTCATTTAACTTTAATGCCAAAGCCCATTTGTAGCCCGGCGAGGTCATCAGAGCCCAACAAACGCCACAACAACACCCACCACCACTATCACCATCACCACCACCACCACCACAACCACAACCACCATCCAAAGAAATCAACCTCCAGAAGTAGTGTTGGGCAAGCTAGCCCTCTCTTATGGGCCAAAAACAAGCAAATGGGTGGTCCGGAGATCACGGAACCAACCTCCCCAAAAGTAACCTGCGCTGGACAGATCAAAGTGAGGCACAAGACAAGTGCATGCAAGAGCTGGCAATCAGTGATGGAAGAGATTGAGAGAATTCACAACAACAGGAAGCACAAGAAAAAGCCTACATGGATTGAGTCTCTTGGGTTCAAGAAAGATATCATGCACTTCTTAACATGTTTAAGAAGCATACGATTCGATTTTCGGTGTTTTGGTGCTTTCCCACATAGAGAAAATATTACAACTGATGATGATGATGATGATGAAGAAGACGAGGAATGTCAAGAAAACCCTGAGGTTGTAGAAGTAAGTGATGGTAATGAGACACCAAGAACCGTTTTTTCTAAGTGGTTTATGGTGTTACAAGAAAATCAAAGCAATAATTTTTACAAAGACGAAAGAAATAAAGATAAGGAAAGGTGTTCTCTTGATGATGAATCAGTTGGTGCACCTGCAGCTCCTCCACCAAATGCTCTGTTGCTTATGCGCTGCAGGTCAGCTCCTGCTAAGAGCTGGTTAGAGGAAAAAGAAGAAGAAGAACAAAAAAAGGAAAAAGTAGATGACGATAAAGAAGAAGAAGAAGAAGAAGAAGAAGACAGAAAAAAAGAGGAGAAGAAAACAAAAAATACAAAGAATTTGAAGTCGTTAATGGAAGAAGAAAAGAGAAATAATAAAGAGAACTTGGTAGTGACGAAAAATGACACTGATTTCTACAAAATTTCATCTGATATAGCAAAAGAGACATGGATTGTTGGCGGCATGAAAGATCTATTATCAAGAAGTCGAAGTTGGAAGAGATGATTCCTCATGATCATCCTGGTGTCTGCTACTACTTTTCTCCATTTCATTTTCAATTATCCTGCTAGTTAAAATTTTATCTTACCTTTTTTACTTTTCCTTCTTCTTTTTAAATACTTTTATGTGGTTTGTTTCTCATCAAAAATATATTCCCTATATAAGTCGTTGTTTGGAAACTGGGAAAACCATCTTCCTCATCATCACCATATCTATAGCTTACTTTTAATTTGTTATGTTATCAAATTTGTACAGCTTAATTTTCTTTCCTTCCAATGGAAATAATTTTTTGCTGCCCATGTACATTTTGTGTTAATGTTAATGTATTTGCTCATCTATTGAGAGTCGCAAAAATAATCTATAATTAGATTTGTTGTATTGCTCAAAAAGATCCATATCTCTGTGTTATCCGATTGGCCTGTCACATGTGGGTGTGTATTAAATGCATACAAAATCCAATTATCTTACAGTCACATGGATTTTGATCTCGGATCTCTCTACAATTGATATATACTGCTGATTTGACCCGAGCGATGGGGCTAATGTAATGTCTTTTTCCTGCATATTCTCTGTTTAAATAGTGAATAGCGTTTCTGATCAGATTGCCAATAGCTTATGTTACGGGTCAAATCAGTAAGTAAAGGAAAATAATGGAAGAAACAGAGGTTGAAGTGAGTACAACGTAATTCACATGGCATTGATGCTGCAATATATTGTCGTTACCATAGCCACCATTACCAACTTGGGATCTAAATCTGCCAAAACCAAATGATGGCTGCAATGTCATGTTTGTTATTTAGTGGATTCGGAGTCCTTTTTTGTGTCGTGGATTTTAACTTCTCTCGGTAAAAGGGACAAAGTAAATAATAAAACTAGAATGTTCGTTGTTCTAATAATGGTTCATAATTATGTCCTCTGTCACGCCGGGACAACAGACCAAGAATCGATTAATTTTGACCTAATGTTAATTATATGACTTAATTTATGCTCTATTCTTTTGTGTTCATCGAGACTGAAATATTTCAACTCGCCACTTACCTATGTTAGGAAAAAATGGAGGCTTAGGGTGAAATTAAGAGGAGTACATTTCCTTGATATCCCAGAAAGCAAGAACTTGATGGACCTCCAATGAAGTATTGATTTATCTGAAGAAAGACGAAATTGATCTTAAAAATCCATTTAAAATGTTGTAAATTTCCCGGGAGAAAAACGTTTGATTTACTGATCTTTTGACCAGTAACTGCAATATTCGATCTTTTGAACAATAACCGTAAGGAGATGGATCAGAAAAAGAAAATGATTTGGTTAACAATGATTCAATGAATGTACTAAAAAGCATCAATTAAAGGGCTCTAGAAAATATGTATATAGCAACCATCTGATAAAGTTGGTCCAAGGACGCCATTGTCATGAGATTTGAAAAATGTTCAGATGTAGAATGTGGATTAGATGTAGGACTTGAGCAGGTCCTGGGCTGCTGTGGACTTTGAGCATGGGCTTTGATGCTGCCTATTGGGGCTCATTAGATTGTCACAGTTGACAATTATGGCCTTCAACGCAGTAGGCTGTAGGCAAGCAAAATATCTACCTTACAAGAGTTAACGATTTTTTTCTACCCAAATAATAGTTTAACGACATTTTTCCACCCATAGATGGCGAACAAAGAGCAAATTTAGTCTAGATTATTGAGGTTTTTGAAGAGGAGAGGCTGATGAGTCTTTTGATGTTCGAAAGTTAGATCTTGGTGGTTGAGATTGATCGGAATTTGACTTGAGCTGCGCAAACCTCAATCGCTCGATTGATGGGATCGACAAAAGCAGAGTTTGAGGGATTTTGATGAGTGATGATCGGGGAAGAGAATGATAATGGTGTAGGGTCGCAACAATGTCAGAATTGAAAATGGAATATAAATTTGGGTAATAAAGTGATATTTTAATAGTTTATGGGTGGGGCAGTATCAAAACCATTGTTTGGGTGGGAAAAAGTAATTCATTTGTCAAAGTAATAAATGTCTATCCTTTATGTATTTTATCTTTTCTAATTTATGAATCTCAATAATCTCAATAATTAATATTTTTAAACCAATTATTTAAATGAGAGAATTTATTTGATTTAGAGCAGGATGTAGTGATAGCCTGTAATATAAAGGGAATAAAAGATTTTTTTTTTCATAAGAGCATTAGAATATAAAGAGTACGTTTATGTCAATTCAAACAAATCCAAGCTCTTGTTTAACAATTTTGGTTGTTGAAGATGTAATGTCATAGATTTAATGTTCTGAGTTTCAAACATGAGACACAGAATCCTATCACAATCTTTTAGGGTGCGTTTGGTTGGGGGTAAGTGAGATTATTGAGATAATGTCATCTTATATTACTTAATTATTATGTTTGGTTATCAAGTAATACAAGATTCCGATAATCTTCTATAACCAATAGTAATTATTGGTAATACAGGAGGTAGTATGATTATCTCAATTTTCTTAGGTATTTTAAGATTACCAAAGTAATCTTATTTTTGTTATAATTCTATCCCTTATTAATAAAATTTTAAGACAATAATGCCCTTGTTTTTAAATTAATTTACATGAATCTATCTTTTACAATTTTACCCAAATCAATTAACTTTTGAGACAAAATTACCCTTAAATTCAAAACAAATTGTAGCCCGCCTAAGCCACCACCCTCACCCACTTGTCGCCGCTGGCAGCCAGCCGTCGTGCGCCCAGATCTAATTTGGTCATTTTCGACCAGATCTGTTGCACAATCTAGCTATTTTCGACCAAAGATCTAGTCAGAAATGGCCATATAGGCACATGGAGGCCATTTTCGGTCGTCTGTGCGCCATTAGGTTGCCGACTACCCGCGATCAGCAGTGGCAAGGCTGGTGGGGGTGTATTGTTGATTTTCTAAACTTTTATTATGAGGTGGTTTTTGCTAAGTTTTTAAATGTAGGAGAGTTATATAATAATCTAAATAATAATATTTAATTAAAGGACAATTCAATAATTTAAATAACATACCCACCGATCTATTTCTCCTAACTAAACATATTAATATAACATATCAACTAATTTATTCCAATCAATCAAACACATTTGTTTAAATATTCTTCCAATAATCAATCTTTCCATTAGTATAATATTTTTAGTAATATAATATTCCTTAAATCAAAGCCACCCTTATTGCTAGTAAAATCAACATTTCTAATCAAGTCCTCTTTTCACCTAATAAACAAACAAAAAAGAAATAAGAATAAAGGACCGCACAAAACATTGGTTAAGCATCCAGTCAAAGTCAATAAAAAAATAATTACTATAGAAATTATCATCACAAAAGAACCCATCTCTTAAATCTCTCTTCAAGAATTTACTTTGTTGTGCCCCAATGATTCCTTCTTATCCTCATTTTCTTTGCTTAATAACTAATATGCAATGCCGCCAAAGTCATTAAGGCCATTAGCCCACATTATTTTTTTCCCAGCTTGGTTCTTTTCTTTCTTTCTGTTAAATTTTTTCTCTAATTACAATATGTTTCTTCGGCTGCTGTACAGTTTAACTGATTTTTCTAACAATTCGCGGTTGTTTCCAGGAATTTCTTTGACTCTTGATCCGTTCTTGTATATCTTGAAGGCTGGAATAGAGCTTACAGCTTCTGATTTAGCTAAGTAAGGGTGGTCTTCGACCTCCACCTAATTAATTAATTGCCAGAAAGACATATCAGACAACTATATAATAAACTAAGAAGTTTTAAAATGGTAAAGCCATAATTAGTGTTAACCTCCACTATAACATTAAACATTCTATTGCTTTTCTTTCTATCAAATTTCACTTTAAAGATATTATAATCATTGTGTTTACCTCTTTCCTTAAATACTAAGTGGGGATTTCTAAAATGATTATCCCAAAGCATATATATTGGTAGGCCCATGCCAAGGTTCCAGAATAATTCATTGATCTATGATTAATTTTTTTTTTTTTTTTTAATTCTAAACTTCAAGTCTTTTTAGTTTAATTTGAGTTTTGATTTTCACCTTGAGGAAGTTGACAGATGGGAATCTCTTGCAGACTTGTTCCATAAGCTGCAATACTTGCTTGTGATTGGCCTTGTTACAGAATAGCACCACTGCCATCCCTGTTGTTCACATCAGAGGTCAATTTTCCCATTAAATTTGAATACATGACAAGTTTTAAACAAATTGTTGGTTAAAAGACTAACCAGGTGAGGTTACAAAGTGTCTAAACCGTTCATTGCTAGAGATGAAAACCAGATTTGAACCAAATTTCATGTCCTTAACATCTTCGCCACGTTCCTTTTTAAGCTGCACTCGTGCCTCAAACAATGCGCGCCCCACCTCCTCATCTCCTGGAATCTCTCTGATCAGCATCTCATAGTCTTGAACTGAAGCTTCCCATCTTTCCAGCTAATGACACCAAATTCATAGGAAATATTATAAGGATATTAAAAAATAAAACCAATGTTGGCATTAACCATTGAGTAAAGGGTCAACAAAATTGTTTAAAATAGCCTTAAATCTCAAGTAACTATAATTCACCTTAGCATTGCAATCTGCCCTGCGTAGCCTGGCCTTACTGTAAGTAGGCTGCAAAATAAGCGCGGTCGTGCAATCTTCCACAGCTTTTTCGTATTGGCCAAGCTTAGATCGACAAGCTGCTCGATTGCAAAGTAAGATTGAGTTGTATGGCTCGTGCTCTAGTCCTTCGCTGTACATATTACATGCTTCCAAGTATTTTGATGCCTTGAACAACAAGTTACCACTCAGTCTGGTTGATGCTATCGCTTTAGCTCTCTTTACTACGGTAACAATCTCTTGGTTGTTTGGATCAAGTTGAGCCGCATGCTGAGCTACTTTCACAGCATCTTCAAGCCTATTCACCAATAACACAAACCAAATTGAGTTGGGATTAAAATGTTCGTTTGTTTTTGCAGATGGCATCAAATTGCCCACACCCAAATTAGTAACACTCAACTATATTAAATTAAAAATGTACACAAACCTGCCTGTGGCCATGTAAACTTGCGCCTTCATCACCAAGATATAAGCGCTACCAGCAGCGCCAAACAATTTTGTACATGATTCAATGAGAAATTTTGGTCCCTTATTGTAGGTGGCATAGGCCTCTTGATGTCTTTGGAGCCTTAACAAGGCTTCAGTTTGCAGAGCATACACCTGCATTAGGGGCTCAATACTATTTAGCATAGGCATACCAAGGGAACTAATCACGTTAAGACATATAAGCTTGGCATATATGAAGCTTACTATTGGAGCCGAATCAGCACCAACTGATATTGCAAATTGGGTCCCCTTTAACAAATCGCTCCACTCCTTTAAATTCCGAGCTCCATTGCATCTGTTAAGGTGTTTTTGAAGAGCCTCAGCTTTGGCAATGTCTTCGCGGTCAACAAGGGAACCTGACTGTTTGTAATGATGTAATGCTTTCTCTGCCTCTCCTAGTCTGCAGGGTGTAATTCACATACTTGTTAAAAGAGAAACTTAAAATTCTAAATTTTCATTTCCTCGTGTACATGCAATTTTAATTAGATAAATACCTGAGATATATTGTTGCCAAACGGTGCTGAGCTCTGCAATAAGAAGGATCAATCCTAATAGCCTCTTTGCACTCTACAAGAGCCTCCATTAGGCTGCCTAAACCTATCAAAGCAGCACTCTTATTGCTTCTGTAAGTGGCATTATTCGAATTCAGAGCAATTGCACCATCATATAAAGATAAGGCATCTTCAAATCTACCCTTCTTGTACGCGTCATTTCCCATAGACTTCAATACTTCAGGATCCAATTTATTCGTCAAACCTTTAACTTTAGGAAATTCACCACTAGGCTGCCTCACAATATTGCCCATAACACCATTACCACCTAGTCTACTCTGGCCAGATCTGTGTTTAGACTTGGAAGTTCCCTCTTGAAGATTCCTGTAAAGGTAATCAACAGTCTTAATTGTTGCATTAGGACTATTGTTCCCCAGCACACTCCCAGTTCCAAGCTGCTTCAAGTTCCCCAGTTGGCCTATAAGCATTATATTACTCGAAGTAGCTCGAGCAAGAGCTTTGTTAACGCCGGATTTTTGGTAATTAGAAACGACTACAGTGCTAAGTTCTGTCGAGGTACAAGGGGGATCTTTACTCAGCTTTCTCTTGTCGGTTGAATCCTGAACTTGCGTCGCCTTTGGTTTGCCGGAACTAGAGGAGGATGAGGTTAAGCTTCTCGCAGCGTCTGAAGGCCTTCTACTATGACTTCTCTGCTGAGAAGTTGAAGACCTAGGAGGCTCTGAACTAGGCCTCCTACTATGTTTTTTGTCTGGTTTTTCAGAAGGTTTCGCTACATTGGCGGAGTCTACAAGGGAACTGTCTGCAGAGGTACTATGCCGTATCTTGGAATCATGACTGGGAGGTTTCTTTGAATTTTGAAAGATAGGTAGTTTCAAATTATTGTTGCTGGTGCCATTGGAGGATAATGAAGGTACTGATTTTTTTCCTGGCCAGAAGCTCCGGCGTTGAAAAATTCCTCCCATAAGACCACAACCCAATTCGTGCTCCATTGAATACTTGGTCATTTCAGCCATGATGAATTCTCCGGTGGGTCTCTGATACCTCCCCTGAAGCTGGAACTTATGGAAGATATGAATGTTATTTCTAGTACAATGAATCAATCAATGAAGCATGATGTATCTGTACTCCTAGTATAATAAATACAATCAAAGAGTGGTTGAGAAAAAATTTAAGTTTAAACAATTGAAAGAATATTAATGTGAAAATTGTTAATAAAGAGAGGAAATGATCAAGAGAAGGCTTGAATGTGAAGGATTCAATGTAACAGGCATAGTCATTAGTCCCCAGTGTTTAAATTGAAGTTAAAAGACTACTGGAGTGGCCTTGAAGTAACCACCTTTATCTCTTTTGGACAGTGAGAGAGAGAGAGAGAGATGAGAGTCAAGACTTGAAAAATGTACAGTGGTTTATATAAATTGGGGAAGCATCTGTAGCACTAAGATTCTAAAATAATTGTGTAAAGATTTTCTTCCTCTAAAATCCTGCATTAAGGGGCAGGGCCACATGAAACAAAACGTACAAAAAGGAACAGTGGGTAATATCTATTCATATTCAAAATTTGCAACTTGGTGTCATTAATAAAAAAAACTAATGCTAGAAAACTGAGAACACCTTCATCTCTTATGGTAGTGGAGGCCCCATATAGATTTATTATTAGATTATATGAATTAAGTGACTTCTCTTAGCTTTGATAGATTATCAGTTTATGACGATTCATTTGGGGGTCCCTCTCGATGAGTGGACGACGGTCCCTTCACAATAATCCCAATTAGTAATTGGGTTTAGAATTAGTTTACTAATATTTGGCTCTGGGTTTGGTTAGATTCGGGTAAACCTAAATGAGATTAGGTTTTCTATTATATATATTATGTAATAGTGATAAACCTAGTATGAAAAAAAATAGAGAGTGAGAATAAATTACCGTCATCTAGTTTGTATATGCTATAGATTTCTAATATTCAATAAGAATTCTCTATTTGAATGTTAAGCGTAGTTCCTTAATTGAAATGAACTAGATTAAATTGTATGTTCTCTTTACTTTTCTGTTTTTCTTTATTGTGTGTTTTTTGCTATTATTTCAACAATAAGAAGGTTATTAAGGTTTCTGTTTCCCAATTATTGTCATTTAAATTAGTCTTCTGCGTTAAATATATACAATCATCTCCCATACTAACATAGAATCTTTATCTTCTATAAGTTAAAATAATTTCATCGCCTTCATCAAGATAGAATCTTCTAATTTGACTTAGCCACCACCGTCATCCAAATTTAACCTTTTAGTTTAATAAAACAATGACAAGATATTCATAATTACCAATACTCCCAAACTCTGTTTTCAATATCCTTTAGAATGTATGGTTAAAACTTAAAACAAATATATATTATATATGGTCTTTCTCTTTCATACAACAACTGGTATATGGGCAGGAACATTGACATTTCAATTCATTTATTATGAGTTAGTGTTTTCAGCTTTAATAATCGTGAAAATGGATAAACACTGGCCTAATTGGCAAAAATTAGTCTCCCCCAAACGCCAAGCCAAATGAAATGATAAATACGTCTCTTAATTATATAGCTGGCAATACCAGTTGGGCTTACTGGTTTATTTGATGATTATGCTTGATGTGTATCGTAAAGAACAAATATAGCGAGTCAAATTTTAAGCACTTGGCAGAAACAGATTCGATGTGAGAGAATCGGACGGCAAAGTAAAGGAGTGCTCGGCATGGAGTTGCTGGGCCAGGACTATGACGGCCAGCTGTATGCCTTATTTGGACCGGTTTTGGTCTTTGCTTCTGATCTGACCTTCTTTTCTTTACCTATTTGTTGGGTTGGTAGCAGTCATCCGTTGTCGGTTTATGTGATAGTAATGGCTCTAAACACATTCATGCAAAAGGAAGGCAAAGACGATTTGTCGATGACCAAAAACCTACACATTCTTTTCTACCATTTACTATTTATCAGTCGATGCCGGCTTTTCTAAATCTCTCTTCACATAATAACTCATCACACTTCCTAATCACAACAGCTTCGAGCGGCAACAATACATACATAACATCCAACTCCATTTATAACCCTTTTAATTGTTTTATATATATTTAACATTACTACAAAGATTATCAATAATTTCAATAGCCCTATTGTTCATAATTAACAAAGCTTTCAGTGGAGATTTTATGATATTATATTTAGTTTAAAACCCATTTCTCTTCAACATTTCATGATCTTATTGTTATATCTAAATTAATAAAGATATTTAAACATGTTTTTTTTCTGCATTTGAAGCATGCCGACACCACGTGTTTTTTATTCTTTTTAAGCAATCTGTGGTCATCACATATGCTTTAAATGAATCAATACTAAAAGTGGCAGAGACTCAGAATAATAAAAATCTAAAAGCTCAGTCAAAGTTTACAGCTTACAGAGAAAAGGAGGAACTCTACTATAAATCCCTTCTCTTCTATTTGTCTTTACATATTCACACTTTGGAGAAAAAAAAGAGTCCAATTGATGATCATTTTTGCCAGAATGAATTGGAGATTATATAACTAATTAAATGGAGTGCCATTTGGACCTCTACTAGTGGTGGCCGAAGTATCCACTTTCGCCATCTTTGCTTGCAGATTCAGAAATCTGGCATTATTTAATTAAACAAAATATGACACGTTCTTAATTTAAGATGACTCTCATTACAGTCGTTCTTAATGTAAACGACGGTAGAAATTAAACTAGCTATAGTGATTTACGTGGATCAATTAAATTAACAAGACCTACCTGGCATATGTGATCAAAATCCAATAATATGAATTTAAATTAATATGTTGATTAAGGTAGTAAATTACCAGATAATTAAAAGTTGGTATGTCAATGTCATCCATGTCAATGTCTAATGATTTCTTTGGGCCAATCATGTATAGATACCTTCTCCACTGTGCAATCTAAAAGCACGTGTCATGTATGTTATGAATATCGACAATATATAATATATAAATCATCGCCTCATCCTTGGCCCTTGGGAAGGGACTTGTTTTTAATCATGAGGATTCCTAATAATATTTTCTAGCATTCTAATCACAATCTTCATAAACTTCTGTAACACTCAAGGTTTGATAATTATACGATTAGCTCTAGCTTGATCATCCAATAATTTAACAAATCCTTTAGTAAGAGAGAGACGTTGATTTGCCACTCTGAATTGATGCCAGCCAACGATTACTTAAAATCAATGGTGGGGTTACTAAAATGATTTTGGATGGCCTGTCATTCCATCTTGTACAAAAAATGCTTGACATGAAAGGTTAAATATATATATTATATTACGGCAATGAGCCACCGGATATCAAGACAAAATATTGTAATGCCGGCTTGCTCACCAGTCGGCAATACACATAAAGGCACAGATAAAGATATGTTGATATAGATAAATCGATCCTTTTCTATTTTTCTTTGTCAAAATTAATGAACTTGTTATCCAAAGTTCCAAACAGCTTCTTCTCTACGTTGGAATCTTCAAATTAAATGTTAGAGAGATTGTGACACAATTGAGCAGGCTTGGAATTCACGGTTTAAAGAGTAGAAAGTGATAGTTACAAGATGTGGAAGTGGACAAAGTCTTGGGACTCAAGGCTTGATGAAGATTAAAGTGATACGTATAGAGGATGAGAAAAAGATACAAACAAATTTACGTAAAGGAGAACATGTGATGTCGTGATCCGAGGCCTTTGAAAACCGCGCAAACTTGAGTTATAAGCATATTAATATGTGGAAGGCCTATCTCATTGGTTTTGCTTGGCATCGGGATCAGCCTCTACAAGACATTCTGGCTGTATATCACTCCGCTCAATGCACACTTACTTTCACGATAAAGAGGCTCAGAAATTTGTGCCATTGTACGTATTAACAGACGTCCATTAATATCTCTAACACGTAAAATAACGTACATAAGACTCTCCTAATAATAATTCAATAAATTTATTGTATATGATGTGATCATGGACCACAGGGTCCCGCATTGTTTCCGTTAGTATTGATCGTTGAAGGACGATTGTGATGTGAAGCCTGATCCCATTAGATACATTGTTTCATCACACTGGATAGACGATATCCTCTGGATATAATGATAAGTTACATGGTGGCATGGGGTCCAATTCCAAGTTAATAAAATTCAAGTCAAATTACCAGAACTACCTGCAGATGGAGGAGGCCTTGTGGGCTTTAGTTCTGAAGTCTTTAATAGCAAAATCATGTGAGATTGGTATTGACACAAAAAAACTAGTATAATAAATGCGTAAGTTATCCATTTTCTGGAGAAACGTATTTGTCAAATTGGGATGACAGATTTGACAGCAAATGCAAGGGAGAAGCCGCATCTATTTTTCCTTTTTCGTAACTAGAGTGTTGGGACCATTCATAATTGACTAAACTAATTTTTATAATCTATTAAACATTCTATAAATTAACTTAAAAGATTAAATAAATCACATTATAATAAATAATTTTAAGATTTAAATAAAAAACTCAAAAAATATGATAAATTTCTTTAACTGTCAAACCAACCCTTTAAGATTAAAGAACCATATTTTCAATTCACTATTTTGTGAATTATGACCAATATCAATTCTTTTGTGTTGAAAGTAATTGTCAATAAATTAGATCTGGTTAAAAAATTTGCAGGAACTAAACCACATAAAACTAAATCAATATACAGTAACTAGAAAAAGGATATATGGAAAAATAATAAAAATCTGCACGAGGCAGAAAAGAAACATATGTTTATAGATTCTCCTCTAGAAAGCTTCGCAATGCCTAGTACGTATAAAATATAAATACGAGGGGCAGTATCTTAAATAATCTAAGTGCCGAATATTGTTGAAATTAATAATAATATTATTCTTTTGACAAATTATTCAAACACAAACCTAGCTAGAGCCTGGATTCACATTACATATGTAGCTAAGAGCTAGTTAATATACGTGATAAAATAATGCTTTTAGGAAAAAAAAAAATTCCGTTTCATGGGCTTGATCTGCATGCTATACTGGATTCCTCGATTTCTTCGGAACAAATTCATTACTCCAATTAAGCAAAACATTAAAGGGAACTTTACGACTTCCATCAGAACGTATATCAGGCTTCTCCCTCATGCACTCACATGCAAGCTAAGCTGGGGTTATCCAGCTGGGCTCTCCCTAGAGCTTTAATTTTCACTTTGTTTTGGGGTGGGGGGCAAAAGAATGATGCATAAGTGCTTCTAAATTAAATGAAAATAGCAGAAGTTTGAAGTGTAAATACTTTCCAAGGCTATCCGTCTTTAACTCTGGTTCCTCGGTCAATGCTATAACAAATTGTAAAAGCAGGGGCAAATTTGTGATTCAACAATCACGTCTATTTGCAACTTAACGACGTTAGCTTGTAAGGGTAGTTTTTGTCTTTTTGATTTAAAATATATAGTCAGCAATTCATCATCCCACTATGATTAGGTAAAGTTTCAGGTTGATAAAATTACCCCAATTGGACAGAACAACAGGCCCACTTAGCTTTTGGCAATAATGACCTATAATTTCTTAAGGCCCAAATTTTAAAACGTACCAAATAGCCTTCGTTCTCATTAGTTCATTTAGGGAAAAATAAAAGAATGGAATAATAAAGATAATTCTCTTAATTAATATGATAATTGATTTGGTAAGTAATATTATTTATCTTGCTGTCCTTAATTAAGGAGGTGTTACAATATTAAGTGTAGAACTCTGATTGGTTGGGATCCAAAGTATATTTTGTCACGGTATTTTTTATAGGATAGAACTCTAGACGTATTTACATTTGAGTGGAAACAAATAAATAAATGTATGAGAGGACGGAACTTATTGTTGTTGTAAATGTTGCTTAATTTCGTACTTAGGATTGTAATTGAAAGGTTTTTTTTTTTTAGAATGGGTTTTAATAAGGAATGTTTTGAATACTCAAAAACAAAATTTGGTGCATGCATGTATGACGAAAGGGTTTAGATTCGGATCTCTTGTCATATAATTTATCATAAGAATAATTTCATAGCTAGAACGATTATGTAGCAGTGAAGATTATAAAAAATAATAATAATAAACCGCTTGCAAATTGTGTTTATATTTATGAAAGTAATATTGATCAAGTTTAAGAGGTACGTCCGTACAACCTTTAACACCCTGTGGATGTGGGCATCTATGTATCCGTTTGTAATTCCTTGATTAACTTCACATACCATGCAGTATTATGATAATCAAAATGAGTGCATTAAAACGTGGTTTGGAATCTTGAGTAGCCAGCGGTTTGATCTTCGTTTCTAGAGAAAAAAAATAATTATTGGAGCAACTTTAATTTGCATGCAATTAATAATACTAATCAATATTTTCTTTTCATTTTACTTTTATAAAGCTAATTTTGGGATTCACTTAATTAACCTAAATATAATACTCAAGAATAACATCTGCAGAAACAGAAGATATAATAACTAATTATTGCTTTGAATCTATGTTAGGCTTGTCTTGTCTGTAGACAATGTTTAATTGGCATCTTCAAAAAGCCTTAAAAGAATAAATCAAATTATAATTATCTGCTACTTCATGAGTACATAATATTCATTGGTTTTAATCATCATACTCATAATTATTTACAGCAATTTTTTTATTTTTTTGTATATTAAAAAATAATAATACTAATATTCTACACGCTTCACGAGGCCAGATTCCTCATTTTCTAATGCGCATGACATGAAATAATTTGAATTTCTAATAATGAAAAGGAAACGAAAACAAGATCATGCGTTGAGTGTTCATAAATGGCTATACAAAGGAGTTATCGAAACCACATGTGTTTGATTTAAACATAAAGAAATATATATCATGTGAAAGTGATACAGCCATCACATTAATTTTTACAATACAGATAGGACGGCAGATTTAATATTCCGTATAGGCATAAAAGACGTAATAGAATTGATGAATTTGGATCTTTAAATCAGTTCATAGGATTTGGTTTATGTAGGGTAGGGTAGGGCAGGGCTGGCCAATTGCCTTGTTACAGAATAATATATAAACATGTACAATGATAAAGACTTTATATTTTATTAAAATCTTTAATACACAAGCTTTATGTCAAGTATGAAAGATTTGTTGTATAATTAAAGTATTAACTATAGCATATATAATTAGTATTTGTTTATTATATGGTTTTGATGGTTGCAGCACTGATCTAACCATCCAAAATAAAAACCGAACCGAAGCACTCATTTGCAGATTATAAACAATAGAATAAATTCTCAAAGAATATATTATATTGACAGGCATCTACGTGTTTTTAATATGAAAAAAAACATAAACATCTCAATCTGAATTTAGAGATGGTAAAAGATTCTCTGATATTGCTCAATTATAACTTGGATTTGTTTCTGAGTTTTGACTTGGTCAAAGGCTGAAGTCTGAAGAAGAAGGTTTGGTTCGGTTGTGTTTTTGATATGGCATAACTATAATGGAGGCCAGGCATGGGGATGCGAATATTTCACCAATCATGAAAACTCGTGTATGTATAGTTGTTCCACATTAATCATTAGCGATGGAAATACCTTATCATATTATACTAGATAAATACTTCACGTGTTATTATTTATTTTAATCCTTTTCTAAAATTTAAACATATTGCATAAGAAATTCGTCACAGTTATTATACATCTAGAGAGAAAACTATTATTTGATTTATTTGAAAGTAAGATAATATAAAAGAAATGAACAAAGTAAATAAATAGTCATCTATATGAAATTATATAATATTGGAGATTAATAATAATTTATTAGCATAGTAGTGCTGGAAAGAGTTTTTGTTATTTCATATGACCCCTCCAAGTTGGTCCTTTACGCACCTTGGTTTATAATTTTATTTTCTATTTAATTGTTTGTTTTTATTTATTTCCAAATTCCAAACACTTAAAAATTAAAAAGCCCATGATATCCCTTTCCCCCTTTCACATTCAAAACATACTACCAGCCAGCCAACACCCTCTCTCTCTCTCTCTCTCTCTCTCTCATATTCACTTTGAGTTTGACCCGTTGCCAGCCACCGGCAACTCTTTTCTCTTCTCCAATGGCGACCCCACTCTGCACTCTCTAGAGGATCTTCTTAGTGGAAACATATGTTGAGACCTCCTCTTTTTTTCACCAATAAAGCGTAAATAACCTTTCCTCTCCTTTCTTTCCTCTCCTTTTTATTTCCTTCCCCAAAACCCTAGCACCTGTCTAATCAGATCATAGACTGTAGGAACAGGACGAAGAAGTTGAAGAAGAAGAAGAAGAAGAAGAAGAAACAGAATAGGAACCTGATATATATTATATATATCTAGCTAGCCTCCTCATCTTTACCTTTTATATATTTCTTTCTCCTCTCTTCTCTTCTCTTCTATCCTCTCTGTGGGTGCTTTTCTTATATAAGATCTACATGATATCTTCTTTTTCTCAAAAAAATTTGCTCCAAGTGAAGTGAAAAGACAAGGAAGAGATTTGCCTCCATTTGCAGATCAAGGTTAAAAGATATGGCAACTTTCTCAAAGCACCTGCTTTTCAAGATATGAATATACTTTTATCCATTCACTACTTCTTGGGTTCTTTTGCAGTTTTCTCATAATTGCCTTTTACACATATCTTTCTTCTCTCATTTCTTTTTTTCATCTTCAACTTTGCAACTATCACCATCTCTTTGCAGGTTTCTTCAACTTTTTTCAACTAGAATATATTTGTTTTCTTTCCCAAGACTACTATATTTTCGATTCATCAAAGCTATGGATTCTGGTAATAGTAGTATGCAATCCTCGAGTGGTGGTGATGAAGAGTATGATTCACGGTCTGAGTCAGCTCCATCTTTCTTGAACCCTTCAAGTAACAACTTTGGTTCCTTATCAAACCCACAGTACCCTTCACTCTTCTCTCACCACCATAACCAACAACCCACTTACTTTGATCCTTCATCAAATTATCTCCATGCTCTCCCTCAATCTCGATCTCAACCTAACTCAAACCAGCCCAGCTCCTTGCTAAATCTTGACTTAGTTGGTTCTAGTAGCCTAAGATCAGAACCCAACTGCACCGACACTGGTAACCTACAAGGCTCATCCTCAACAAGTCATTCAATGTTAGCCGCTCAAGGATTCAATCGTGGTTCATTTCCAGGCTCACCATCCATGCAATCAAGGTTACTCCATGATCATAATGGTACGAGATCTTTAGCAGCATCCGATCAGATTAATGTTGCGAAGAATCCAAAGAAAAGAACAAGAGCTTCAAGAAGAGCACCAACAACTGTTCTCACCACAGACACGTCCAATTTTAGAGCAATGGTGCAAGAATTCACTGGAATCCCGGCACAACCTTTTTCTGGCTCATCGTATACTCGCCGCCTCGATCTTTTTGGCTCAGTCTCAGGCTCGGGTATAAAGGCAGGGCATGTTGAACCAATGGGACCTCTGTACCCTCTTCGTCCTACCACTCAAAAGTTTCAACCAAACCCCTTTGTATCTTCTTCTACTTCGGTGGTTGATGCTATTGCTAGTGCTAACGACAATGCTATAACCACCTCCATTTCAACTGCAAGTAACGCTTTTAATTCGCCTTCTATCAATAACTTCCAACTGCTTTCTGATTCAGGCCTCAATAAAGAGACTCATAATTTGTTGAACATGCAACAAAACCCATTCCAGTCTTTTCTACAGCCTCCTCTCAACCCTTCAAATATTACTGTGCCTGGTTTTGGTGGAAAATCTCAAGCAAGTTTTGGTATGCCTGGTTTCGAGGAATTGGCTATGAGCGGCCATGGACACGTTAATGCAAGCCTTTGCGGGCTATCGAGTCATGTAGCTTCTGGACAGGATCACATGAGGCCTTTCGATGGGAATATTAATGGGAATTCATCACAAAGGGTTACCAGTTGTAAGTTGAACTACTCGGCATCTTCATCAGATTTTCACCATGATAAGACTTTGGAGAATGTTTCTTCTAGGGGTGAAGGTACTGTTGATTCATGGATTTGTCCTTCAGATTAGGATTAATACTTGTATGTATAAGAACTTAACAGTGCAGAAGCCAGAAATTAATTACTTTTGAAGAGGGTTTTGCTGCAGAGATCGGTCATATAGTCTTTCTTGTTAATTAGAAATAAATATATGAAATTCAGTTTAGAATGTAGATACTATATATCTTTCTTCTTCCCATCGAAAATTTCAATTTGTTTTTGTTTAATATATGGTCACTTGTTTTGTTTGTGTTAAATAAATTTACTTGTTGGACATGGAACAACTATAAGATCAATTAGAAGCAAGATTTTCTTCCTCGTACTTTGTCTACTCGTAGAAAACAAATAGGTCGGTGCCGTGTTCATAAACGGGCATTATTCCTGAGTCACCTATGTCCATATGGACTTGTCTAGCCATTAGGCCAGACAAATGGCTGCTTGTAAAAAGGGTGGTCCAAGTCTTGTTTTTGAATTGCTATATCAATATGACAAGGGACCCTAAGTGCCGTGCCCGCAGGTTTAATCCGTTGATTCTGACTTGTTACCTCTTCATCTCCATACTTAAATTAATTACCATCGAATTTCATCTCCATACTTGAATTTATTTTTAATGTGACGACTATTAAGTTACTAATTTCTACTGATTTCTGTGTTATGAATTATCTTGTAATCATCATGGTTGTTACTTATATTGTTTTAATGACAAGGATCATGGGCATTTATCCTCGTGTTATGTCTCTTGCATGATTTAACATTTATGTCAACTTTTGAAGTAAAGAGATGATTAGGGGGAGCGATTGGTGGCAAGATTAGGGGAATCCCTACCTGCCGCAATCATAAACTACAATTTCATCTAATTACTCTTTGTTTTAATTTATTAATGCTTGTTGCCTTGCGGCCGGTCAACAATAACACAAGCACAACCCCATTAAAATTTGCTAAGCTATTAACGAATCTTTAATAAATCTCTTGGGGGAAGATTTCATTCTTAATATATTAAGTGTTTAGACATGTGCACTAGGTCTCTCATGCTCCCTTTTACACTGACCATTTCATTATCATTCTAACACAAAATCCTCTCTATCCATTTCCCGTACGCCATTCTTTATTGTTTTAATATTTTGTTGGTGTTGTATAAAAATCAAGGCCAGAAAATCAGATATTTTTAGTAAGGGGAGTTGTTAAATTATGATAAGCATGTGTCTCACGCACATCACTTACTCAATTAGATAATCAAACAAACAAATCTATTGGGTGGATGAATGCCTAATTCAATTCAATTATAAATATGCCCTATCCTAGATCTTCCCTCACATGCTCCATCTCCATCTTTAATTAGTACAACTATTAGATTATAATTAATACTCTTCCTAACTGATAATAACAAGTTTAATTTAATACTGACCAGTAGTAACTTGACAAATAAATTCATTAAAACAAGTGTAAATTAAGAAGGGTCATATATACATGAAACAAGATAACAAAAGGATATTGAATTGAATGATACAAATGGAATTAATTAAAAAAGAAAAAAGATAATGAAAATAATTTGGAAGAGATGATTAGCCATGGCAAATTGGAAGAAGAGGACATGTTGAGAGGATGTGGTGACATGTGACTCTTTCTCTTTTGGAATCATGGTGGCCCATGCCAGAGAATAATCTGGTTTTTAGCAATGATGATATATATTTTTTTCTTCTCTCTATCCATCTACCTCTCTCTCACTCAGTCTTCAGGGACATGTGAGATAAGAGATACACATTCACTATTTCCATCTGAATAAAGCATTACTTCAATTTAGAGCCAACCCCCCTAAACCTTTTATGCACTTTCAAAACACATCTTTCTTCAGGAGATCGACCATCTATTCAATTGCTGGATGCGACAAAAAAAAAAAAAAACTTACAGTTACCTATATATCAAACATATTTAACCCTTTAATAGGAAACTCTCCTTTTCAATTAATCTGCCTTTAACTATTAACTAATTCATTGTAATTTAACTTCTAATTTGGTTTAACTTTGCATGCGTAAGCAGTGATGAAAGCATAGTACAATCTGACGCAAGAGGGTCTATTTTAATATTTGAATACTCAGAAACCATGAAGTTGTAGCTTAGAGTTAAGACTTCTGCTGCGCGCAATATTAGACCATAAGCTTTGGATCCGGCGAGAAGATTTTGGACACCTTTGACAATTCAATTCTTTGGCTTACACAAGGGTTTGCTGAGCACATTATTTCAAAGCGAAGAATAATTACAGTTGTTAAACACTAATGTTTCAATTTTACGCAGAAGCAGATCCATGATTAATTCCATGCGACTAGTCGTCTTGGAATATTTGCATTTGCCGCACAAAGTATTCCATGCCTTCGAATTCAAGACTTTATTGCACTAGACATGCGTTGATGAAAACAAAAGTCTTGGGTAGACTGTATATTAATGATGTGCTCAATTTTTTTTTTGTTATTTAAGTACTTTTCCAGAGCAAGCCATGGCCCTCTCCACAAACATGTGATATCACAGTATCTATGGCTTATTATATATACATACAATTCATATGTATAGAATTTGGAATTTGAATTGGAATTGGAATTGATCGATCACCATAGCCTATTTATAAAATATAGGAAGGAGACCACAGCATGTATAATGTATAGAAGCCAATTAATATTGAAGAAGTTGGCATCCCTAGTTGTCTCTTTCATAGTGCAGTTAGGTAGCCCACTAGAGAAAAGTCCTTCGTTGGAAAGATCGATCGCCCAAAACCCACAAACATTGCTAAAATATTATATATAATAGTTAAAGTAGGTCAAGTTGAACTACCTAGTCTTTATAGACTCTTATTCATCTTTTGGCTCTAGAAGGTTTGAAATCCTTGGCTGCTTGAGAATTCTTCAACTGGTTTTGCTTTCACAATTTAACTCCAAGAACTTTCTTGTCAACTACTCATCTAATATATGTATATATATATATATATATATATTTCGTATAGTATTTGATTCCTTTTTCTGCAGCATGTTACGATCGATAATGCAGAGAATTCTTCAGCCTGATGGAAGGACACGAGCCCACCTCTTTATAATCTTGTCCACACCAGACCAAAGTTTCAAGACAGCCTGTGTGTTTAATTGTTAACAGTCATTATCCTTCAGTATAAACTGTGTTATAAGGTAAAAACTGGAAATTTTTGTAGAAGCTTTGACTTGTGAAAGTCATATAAGCTTGTTGTTTTTCCATGTTGAAACTTCAAATAATTAACGCCATACCAATGAAAACTACTTGATGAATTGCTCTGAATGTGGTCTATTATTAATTGTTACTGAAAATATTGATATTTAGAGACAAAGTTAGCTGGCTCCCTCCATGGATACATTAATACATAAATAGCTCATGAAAGGCTTAGATTTCAATTCATTTGTGTTTGTGTGTGAAGTGCTGCAGACATTTATAAAAACTTAACTATGTCTGCCTGAGCAGGTCTTACGTGATTTTCATGAACCCCACATGTTCCCCACTACCATTTTCCTTTTCGATAAAAACTTTACATATAAGATAATTTCTTTATTAAAATGTTAAGTTAAAAATAGCCTTTGAGATTTGTGATGCTAATGATCAAAGAAGTAGATTTTACACAAGCTTTTTTTTTTTTAGCCATTGTGTGTAGATAATAATTAACCAAATCAATTCATATCCCACGAATATTCTACATTGGAAATTGTTGTAGAATCCTATCTAAATCACCATACAATGAGTGCCTGTGGGGTTCCTGTTTATGTTATTATTCTCTTCCTCACTCTTCTTCTTCTTCTTCTTCGTATTGGCAAAACTTTATTTTACAAAAATACCCACAATTTATAATTAAGATATTTAATTTTATTTAATTATTAACATAACGTCTAATATCTAATCACTGTCTAATCACATAATGTAACATGATTAATCACCTAAATTATAATTCATAATAAAACAAAAAGGAAATAGGGAGGGGGAACATTTTGCTGAATTGTAAAGGTTATATTCCGGTAGACAAAGCTTCAACTACTCATTTTTTAAATTAAAAATAAAAAAAAGAAAAAACTGGAACGACGGGGCGTTGAGTCACAGCAATGTGACGTATAATACGACGTCAGTGAGAATTGAAAGAAAAACACGTGTCATAAGGAGGGGAGAGGGCGCGAATGAAGGAAGAGTAATCCAAGTGTACGGTTAGATGAAAGATCCACGTGGGAGATGAAGATCATAATTAGATGGATGATGTGGTGGAGCCCATTTGGAGGAGTAGAGGCGGTGGCTGCCTCTGCCTCTGCACCTGCTAATCATATTTGGACCGTTGCTTCTCCTCTCTCGTCGCTTTCACTTTTATGCCTTCCCTCACCTTCACACCTTTCTCACTTTGCCCCCTCCAATCTCATCTCCATGCATCAATACTTTCGTTAAATTGTTTATAGGCCCAGCCCATCATTTTCCAAGCCCATGCCAAAGCCCAATAACAGTACCCTTGTTGTATCTAAGCTCAACTCAGAAGTGGCCTATGAGCATGGACCCCGTCACATTTTGGGCTTCACTGTTGAACGGTTGGTCCTCAGCATTCAACTAATAAAAGGGCCAACACATTTCAAGTTTTCACATCCAAAATTGTTCCATTAATCCATTGCAAAGGCATCTTAGCTGTAGCCCCTTTATTTCTTTTCCTTTATGAACAGATTCGCAATCAGGTTTTACTGAATGACGTATGCTATGTTTATCTGTTACATTCTCCTCATTGATTTTTGCCCATTATCACTACCAATAAACACATATTATAGCATTTAATTTCCTATTATATTTGAGCACATACGGAAACTGTTAATTGAAGGTCAAGCCCACCAAAAATCCCTCTTCTTACACGTAACACAAATAAATCTTTTATTTCCCATAAACATAGCCATTTGTCATGGACCTTGTCGTCTTTATCTCTTACAAGACAACGTCAAAACCTTCAAATCCGACACTTGCTCTCTACGTTAACCAAACAAATAGCACAACGCAACATAGTAGCACCAAACACAGGTCTGAAAAAATGAAACCAGAAACGCTGACTCTGGTTCTGGTGAACCTTGCGGGGATCATGGAGAGAGCTGATGAATCTTTGTTGCCTGGAGTGTACAAAGAAGTTGGTGCAGCCCTGCACACAGACCCAACTGGGTTAGGCTCTTTGACCTTGTTTAGGTCCATTGTTCAGTCGTCTTGTTACCCAATTGCAGCTTACCTGGCGGTGCGCCATAACCGTGCCCATGTTATCGCGCTTGGTGCATTTCTTTGGGCTGCTGCTACCTTCCTTGTTGCCTTCTCCTCCACTTTCTTTCAGGTCAAAAATATATTAGATTTGAAATTTTGAGTAAAATAAAATTGTTAGAATGGTTTTGTCACTTATTTGGTTGATCAGAAAAGGAAATAGAAGTAACTAGTTCTGGTATTTGAGTTGTTTATGGTTGGGGAATGAAGAAAGTACAAGTCAACTTAGTCAAATTGTTGAATTGGTATTAGTAATTAATCAGAATTTGTGAATTGTGATCATCAAAGTTTTAATTTCTTTTTCTTTTATGCTTAATTTTGATCACGTAGTGAACTGAAAGTGGGTGGTTGAAATGTTAATTGCTATATAAAGTAATTGTAGATTGCTTTTATTATTAACTTCTAAATTTCTGCATATGGTATTGATTGTTGCTTTCGGATGAAGGTATTAATTGAGCTTCTTTTAATTTTTATTTGCGAAGGGGTTCGAACAAAACAAATTAAGAACTCGTTATAATTCATTTATAGCTTTCTGAATGTGAAACTCTCAATTTGGTGCAATAATACACTTATCTTTGATAAACTAATTCCAAATAAGATAAGAAGTGAGGAAGCTCCTTTTTAATCTCAACTGATTGAGAACCGCACTCTGTTATTTTTGGGACAAAAACTTAATAGGTTTGGAATAGCCAGTTCCTTTTCAAACCAGTATTACACAGAAATGCAAGAGAGTAAGATTGCTGCCTAGTGGGACACGAAACTGATAAAAAGTTTAAGGATAGAAATTTATATTGAATTGTGAAAATTGTCACGACCAGCTAGCTAAGTAAACTTCATAGCTAAGTGAACTTAATGGCAAAGGAACTTTAAGGATAAGCATTATCCATTCCCAAAGTTGCCACCTAAGGTTGCCACCTAGTATTACTTAAGGATTAAGTATACAATGTATCTAGTCATATCTTTGAGGAGGTTTAGCCTATAAATAGGTCACTCCCCTTTGTAAAGTTCATAAGTTGTTATCCTTCAATATAGAATTTACATTGTCTCTACATTATCTCTCTCATTTGCATACTGTTAGTCTTTGAGTTTGTGTGAGTGTTAGGCTGCTTAACACATTTCCGAAGTGTTAAAACCTATAGGTTTGGCGGAGTTTGGAATAGCCTGTTCCTTTTCAAACCAGTATTACACAGAAATGCAAGAGATGTAGGGATTCTGCTTAAGTGGGACACCGAAACTGATAAAAAGTTTAAGGATAGAAATTTATATTGAATTGTGAAAATTGCCGATTTTGATTTTGGGGTTGAAATATTGATATTTAAGATCCATAGTTAAGTTTCTTTCTCATTCCTACCTTATCTTATGAATTACACAAATCTTTTTAATTTCCATGTAAAGTAGCAGGCAAAAAGAAATAGGGACTTAGGCATAAGGAGTTTGACTTTGATTGTAGGAACTAGAGATGCTGTTGCAGTCCACAATAAGTTAGATTTATGCCATCTAACAACAAAGGCCATTTCAGATGTTTGGGTAAGAATAACTTTGGTGAAGAAACCATGTGAAATGAGCATAGGATACGCAGTTTAAGTTATGATCTGAAACCAATGTGATAGTATATGGTTTCTATTAAGTTGTTCGGTTCAAGTCACAAAATATTCTAAATATTAGAATCATATCTAAGAAAAAAATGAGTGTTTTTTTCTGGATTGATGCATTTCTTGAAAGTCTGGTCTTCAGTAATGTGTACATAAAATTTTCAATACTTCAGAACAAACTAAGTTTACCACGACATACCAACTAGGTGTATTTGTATTAAAGTCATTTAACTTTTGTTGAGCAGGTTGCATTATCCAGAGCTCTGAATGGGATTGGCCTTGCAATAGTTGCTCCTGCAATTCAATCCCTTGTTGCTGACTCAACTGATGATAGCAACCGTGGTGTGGCTTTTGGATGGCTGCAACTAACAAGCAACCTTGGTTCAATTATTGGTGGTCTCTTATCAGTAATGATAGCTCCTATAACATTCATGGGAATTCCTGGTTGGAGGATTGCCTTCCATCTTGTCGGACTAATCAGTGTTGTGGTTGGTATTTTAGTCCGCCTTTTTGCAAATGACCCGCACTTTTCAGATGATAGGACAAAAACTATTGACCAAGTTTCAAGTAAATCTTTTTGTTCAGAAGTAAAGAACCTCGTTCAGGAAGCCAAATCTGTTATAAGGATTCCATCTTTCCAGATTATTGTTGCCCAGGGGGTTACAGGTTCATTCCCCTGGTCAGCTTTGTCATTTGCCCCAATGTGGTTAGAGCTTATTGGATTCTCCCATGGGAAAACCGCATTCTTGATTGCCTTGTTTGTAATTGCCAGTTCCCTTGGAGGGCTGTTTGGAGGTAGCATGGGGGATTTCCTATCTATTCGTCTTCCAAATTCAGGGAGGATAATTCTAGCTCAACTAAGCTCAGCATCAGCCATCCCTCTAGCTGCAGTACTTCTGCTTGGTTTACCTGATGATCCATCCACAGCAGTGATGCATGGTTTGGTCCTGGTCATCATGGGGTTGTGCATATCATGGAATGGTCCAGCTACAAACAAGTACACTCTCTTAAAAATACCTTTCTTCCTCCCTTTTTTTCTCCATAAATTCTGAGCTATAATCACATAGTGAAACATTATGGGTATTGGTTTTCAGCTAATATTTCTTTTATCTCCTGGTCGAAAGAGGAAAAAAAAAAAAAAAAGGAATCTAGTTGAGTTGCTAGTTATTTGGAATTTCATGCAAAAGAATGCATTTTTTCTTTTCAATTTCCAAAAGCATGGCAACACAAGTACATCAGCTAGCATTAATTAAATGATATAGGGAAAACAATACTTATTTCAATAACTTGGATAGGATGATGTGTATAAATTATTTTCATATGGTTTCAAATGCTCTTCAATAAAATATCATGAAGTGCTTTGAAAAACAAGAAGAAAAATGGGTTGTGTAGCTTCAAGAAATAGGATTAACTTTTGCTTGAAAATGGATCAAACTTCGAAACTATGTTTTTATTAATATATTAACAAATTTTGCAATGTGGTCTATGCAGTCCAATTTTTGCAGAGATCGTTCCAGAGAAATCTCGAACTAGCGTCTATGCTCTAGACCGATCTTTTGAGTCCATACTCTCGTCATTTGCTCCACCTGTAGTTGGGATATTAGCTCAGCATGTTTACGGTTATAAACCTGTTCCTGAAGGATCTACTGCATCTGAAGAAATTGCTACAGATAGGGAGAATGCTGCATCATTGGCTAAGGCACTGTACACATCAATAGGAATTCCCATGGCTCTCTGTTGTCTCATCTACTCGTACCTCTACTCCACTTATCCAAGAGACAGGGCGAGGGCAAGAATGGAGGCACTAATTGAATCAGAAATGCAGCAATTAGAATCTGATGATTGGCCTGCTGGTGGAGAATATTCCCAAGTTCAGTTATCTGGATCAGACGTGACATACAGTAAGGAAAGAAGTGTTATTGAAGTGGATTACGAGGAAGATGGTCTTGATCTTGATGAAAATGATGAGAAGATATTACTTCACCGCCAGTTGACATTCTCCAATTTAGGTGAATAGCTAAAGAGGCCTTTAATCTTCATGACAATGATGAGAACATACGGTTTTTCGTGTTACAGTTTTTGCTTCTGGTGAATATAATCCCCAGAAAGCTGAAGTTGGCTCTATCTACTGATCTGAAAATTTGATAAAGTCTTGGTGTAAATCGTGAAGAACTTTCAAGGATTCTGAAGAAGTGAAAGATTTGTCCATGAATTTTGTAGAAGCCATATAATATAGGGTTTGGTCGAGATCTTCAACCGGAGATAAATTTTGGAAAGACGTCAACAAGAACCAATTATACGTATAAAAATGTCATAAAACATAGGATTTAGAATTTATCTTTCGATTTGATCTAGTTCCAATTCCCTATTTTGAATTACATGCTGTGAAGCATACCAAAGCATTAAACGAACAGTGAATTCTGTAAATTTGTTTTGCGATATTTTGAGAATTAATTAAAATTTCTGTAAGTGAAGAGAACATTAAAGTTTATGGAAAGTAATGAAGTTGCATCCTCAAATAAATAAATCTGAGTAGTAGAAAAGAACTTAGGAGTCGTACTTAAATATGATCAAGAAGGTTTACTCTTTTCATTGATTTTCTAGATTCAAATTTTACTGTCACCTACTACGATTCAATGGGCTCCAAGGGATTAGTTGATATGCTCCACAAGCGAGCCAGACACCCCACTTATCAAAATAAAATAAATAAAAAAAGCACAAGTATTGTACTCACGCGCACAGGCATCTAATGAAATTCATATATACAGACCTCTCCATCATATTCCTATATACTGGATAAACACATCCATAACAACATGCAGTTATACATATATTTTGACTTTTAGTTTTGCAGATGAATAGAGTTTTAGTGAACCAAACGGAGAGCAGTGCCCAATGGTGCACTAAATGCTTATTTGGGTTTGGCAGCAGTAAACATCACAAAACGTCCATTCCTTGTGCACGTAAAACCAACCAGGCCACAAGCTTTGCAGAGATCTTCTAGTTCACGTTCAGCTAGGAAAGCATAGCTGCCTGATATTTGCATAATGTTCTGTAACAGGAACCAATATCCACCATTAGCTTAAGTGAAGACAACACTTAACAGATATAATATTGATAAAAGTTTATGATCCACTTTAAACAGAACTTTAAGATACTACTAAACCAAAAGATTAACGTGATAAAACTAGTCAGATTTATAAGTCTTTCTTAAGACTATCTATTCCAATGGAAAATGTTTAACTGCATCCCCAATTGTAGCTGTGTATATGCAAGCAGAAAAAGCATACCTGGCGAAAAAGCCTCACAAATGGAATAAAATTAAAAGGTCCATCAAGGATGTAGGTGGAAGCCACAAACACTCCTCCAGGTCGCAGAACTCGACTTATTTCAGCTACCTATGAAGTATCCACCAAATTGTTAAAGGTTAAACAACATATAAGTAAAGTAAAAACAAGATGTATGGGAAGATAAAACAAGTATATTTCCAAGAGTGATTGCGAAAAAGATTGAAGAAGTAAATGCTTACAGCTGTTGATGGTGAAGGCCAACAGTGTATAGCAGCACCAGCATGCAATGCATCCACCGAACTTGATGCAAAAGGAAGTCTAGATATATCAGCTCTAACCAAGACATAGTTCCTGAAGGAGAGGAAAAGGCACAATCAGTTACAAGTTTAGATTCTCAAATTATACAAAATATGTTTTAGAAACTTGAGCTCATACTCTTCAGGAAAGTTCTCTTCCTTCTTGATGAACTCAAAACATTGCTGCAGCATGTTCTCCGAGTAGTCCAAAGCAACAACAAGAGAAAACAATCCACTCTTAGCAAAAAGTCTCGAGAACATTCCACTACCACAACTAGCATCAATGATATTTCCACCTAAAACAGGCTTTAGGTAATCTTTCATCAATTCAAACTGCAATTAAGATCATATTATCTGGTTAGCAACTCTAATTAGGAAGAATATGAAATGACAATGACACACTTTAACCTACAAAACCTACAAATTATTTCACATCAGCCATAAAATGATAAACAGGCATTTCATTTTTGTTCGCAAAGCGATCCAGTTCATCATGTTTTTGGCAGCACGAAAACAAATTTTCTTTTTCAGTACCATCATCAGAAATAGAATGGTTGAAGATTTGACAAAGTGACTTTCTTTTCGTGTTTCCAGTTCAAGAATAATGATAGTTTCTTGTTTCTGCACTACAATTCTATTAAAAAAGGTGGATTGGTTTAGTTCACTTGCAAAAACATGTTTTACATTATAAAATGTTAATATATGTAAGCCCTAAAAAGCTGAAAAAAAAAAAAAATGATTTAACAAGAAGCACCTTCTTAAAGTTTTTACAAACGTTGTTGCTACCCTCATGAAACGAAAATGTAATTGGGATAATGAAGAGACCCATTTTCGCAAAATCTTATAAAAGAATGAACACTGCAGAATATATGCAACAGAGAAATAATCTAGTCATATACCTCCTTCTCTGGGCCTGGAAAACCACCCCATATAAAATTTTGACGCCAACCCCTCTCATAGAGAAATGATACTAAAGGAGTCCTGATCCAACAAATGTGAATATACATAGTAATAATTAGACTTCAAAGGTAAGATATACAATGAACACGTTCATAATATGCATTATAATAACAAATATGACATTAATGAAAAAAGTGTAGAGACGTATCCATGCCAATAAACCACACACACACACACACACAAAAAAAAAAAAAAAAAAAAAAAAAGGCTCCTGAACAATAATAGATAGAGATAACAAACTACTCTAAATCTCCACTGCAACTTGTCCAAAATATATATATATATATATCAATCCCTAACAGATATCAACTCACTCAATTCAAGAGTGTATTACTGCTTGTTCCTAAAGTCATAATAAGCATTGAAATGAAAATACCTGAAAAATTCAGTTGCTAAAGGCATGGATTCACCATAACCTTTGGCCCCACTAGCTGCTGTTAAATCAAAATGTGTTTCTTTCCCGCTGTAAGTCTTCTTACAATTATTACATTGCAAACTAGAACGAGGTATAGATCCCCTGGAAGAACTCAACACAATCAAACCAACAACCAAAAAAACAGATAATAAGAAAATTGAAGTGTACGTCACTCTCTTTATATCAAGATTGAAATGACTTACACAGACAAATACGAATCTCCAATCCACATCACGGGCTCATAACATATGGGGCAAGCTAATATTGTCTTGTTCGTGTTAACTTCGTTTTCAACAACAATTGGTTCCTAAACACAGACAAATTATGTTACTGAAATAAACATAAAATTTAATCATTCAAGTGAGAGATAGAAAACTAAATTTCACATACCGATGGTTTAGTTTCAACGAAGGCTGTTGAAGAAGCACGAACTTTCGCAACAAAACTGCGTTTCAAGATGGAACTGGTTTTGAAGAAACAACTTCTCGAGCCAACAACCGGTTGAGTCGGAAGAAATCCCGACCAGAATTTGATGGTAGTTACTGTCGCCATAAGCTAACTCTCTCTCAAATTGTTGAACTCCGAGGAGTTGATCTCACTGGTTTACAGAAGTGAAATGTTTGGTTTAGCAACAAGAAAGTGAGAGAGAGAGAGAGAGAGAGAGTACAGAACGTGTGCTAACGCCTAAGCCTAACAGTTACCGTGAATTTTAAAACATCTGGTGGTAATGGAACGGTTAAAGTGGAGCAAGCGGGAGTTGTGTCGTGTCGGTTAGTGGGTGTTGGGGCTAGGCAAAGGCAATGCACGTATAGTGGACTCTTGTATTTTGGATTTAATAATGGGCTGAGCTTCTAGAATATGACCCAATTTAGAAATCCATGAATCACATGCTCTCTAGTTTATGAAATTTTGTTGCAATTACCTGTTGGTGATGCCTTCAAGAATATATTCTTTTTGTGTTTGTTGATATTCGTTGATGCCATATTCGATTAAGTTTTTTAAGAACTAAAAAAATTATATTATTATTTGTTATCGGCCTATGAAAAACCATTGAATTGGTTTCTCAACTCCTTTCTTGGATATACGGGGTAATGTATTTGATTAAAGATAATAATTGTGAACTAAATATGGCTGTTAATACATAATAAGGGAGAGGATTTTACGCAGCTAAGGCAGTATAAAATGATCAGTTATATAGCAAAATCCGCTACTTAAATTCAAACATATAAAAACTGATGGAAATGAAATTTGATAAAAAAATATAATAAAAGTCAAATTTATAGGTGTTGGAACTAAATGACAATACCCACAGATCAAATATCACACAAACCACACAGAAAAAACAAGAACCAACACAAAACACAGATTTTACCATGGTTTACTTATCCAAATTGGACAAGCTACGTCCATGTTGAGTTTCGAAAATGGGCGAGCTCGCTGCACTACTTATTAGAACAAGATTCAACTAAGAACAAGTACAAACTCAATCAAACTCTCAACAATTACAAGAAATCCTCATAGTAACTAATCCTAAAGATACTCACCTGGAATCTCCCAAGAACAAGAGCAAGGAAGCCCTCCTAATTGACTAACGGATTACCCAATCACACAAGTTACAAAGATTTCAAAGATCGATCTAAGACCTTTAATAGAGAGAAAAACGTGAATGTGAAGCTCTTCAACCAGAGACAAAAACACAACTCTTTTTACTATGCACTGCCCTTTTTATATTGTTGACTTAATGAAACTTCTTAGCCATCAGATCATATGTGGATCAATGATCAAGATTCATCATAGACAAATATCAAAGTGCAACATTTCATTTGAGCTCCAAAACTGCATCGTTTTAATCTTCACTTCAACAATAAGGCTCTGAGTAATACAAGATAGATGTTGTCTAGTTTATGGAAGCATGGCGTTGACCTATGACAGGCTACTCAACACCAACCATTATATACTTGAGTAATACTATACTTGCACCATTTTTTTACACTATTTTGTAAACATCATGATGTGACATATGCTACAACCACACAAATTCTATTATAATATTAAAAATTTGTGTGGTTGTAACATATGTCACATCATGATGTAATGAAAATTGTGTAAAATAGTGATGTAAATGTAGCATTACTCTATATACTTTCGTAATGATTCTTTCCATAAATACACCAAATGCAGCAAATCTTAATGCTTCTAGTAATTATTATAAAGAAAATTCAACAAAAAGCCCGTCTAGCTCAGTCGGTAGAGCGCAAGGCTCTTAACCTTGTGGTCGTGGGTTCGAGCCCCACGGTGGGCGTTTACTTTTTCTTGTCTCCTTATCGTTTAAAAACTTTGGTAAAAGTTGTACGCTATTTAACACAATTTATGTATAAATATTAACAAATTCCATACCGGATACTTAAGTTGTACTGTAAGTCATTGAGGTTAATTTAAAAATCTGGAATGTCAAAATCAGTTCCCTGCCGACATATCTTTGTTTTTTGGGACTGCACCTTTTTCTTGGGCTATCAAAATTAATCATTTGTTGATGACATTGATGTTTAGCTTTAAGAAATTAATATGTAAACGTTTTCAACTGTTTCTTTTGTTGTTTTCTTCCTGCAATTTTACCGTATTAATACTGTGGATGAGATGAGGGCCCGAGCATATTAATAATCGTTGTTGCAATTTTGGTATTTTGTTTAATATTCAACACTTAATTATCAAGTTATACAATAATTTTATTCCGTGTATATTATATGGGTACAGTTGAATTTCATGTAAAGCTCAATAGATGTGAGTTTATTTAGCATATTTGGTTGGTATATTATTATGTATATAATTGAGGGACAGCTGTGTTGGGTAAGGGTTAGCAATAATGGTCATCCTGTTACATGACTGGTTAACTAATGACGAATATATATTATTGATTAATAATAACGTTAAGACAATATAATTAAGGGGAAAGATAATGTATAGAAATCATAGAAACCTAGGAAAATGGACGTTATAGCTTCTTTAAGGAATCTCCAATTTGGTTTTGTTTTTGGGATTGGGCATGTTCCAAGTTAGGTTACATTGGTGTGTGTGAGCACATCATTATTTTCCACGCTTCGTGTTTAGGGTCCACTGTTTTATCTGTTCCCTCTCCTCTAGCCACTGCCGTTCCTAATCATTCTACCCAACTCATTTTTTTTATGTGTCTCTCCCCCTTTGCACATTTTAATGCCAATATGAATTCTTTATGTAACTTTGTTATTGGTTGTTGAAATAGTGAGTCTTAAATCATTTATATATATATGGTGATGTCATTCTTCCTTTTCAAATTCATGTATAGTCTATAGAATATAGGGTTATTATTTACCTACAACTATATGTTAAATATATAGAAGTCAGTTATAATAGGGACATGATTAGACCAAGTAAAAAATGATCTAGATTGATCAAACCTAAAACAGGACTTCCTTCTGGTGTGCTGAAATTGTGTCAAAATTATTTTACAGTAGCAAGAACTCTAATTTAACCCTAAAGGTGTGTTTAGTTCAGAAAATATTGGATTACTGAAAATATTATATTACTAAAATCTTATATTACGTTGAAGATTATTAGAAATCTTTAAGAAAATGTATTTGGTTAGTTGGTGGGTATGTTATATTAATATATTTGGTTAGTTGGTGGGTATGTTATATTAATATATTTGGTTAAGGGGGATAAATTGTTGGGTATATTATTTAAATTACTAAATTATCTTTTTTTAAAATATTAAAATAATATTATTTTTATTATTAATTTTTGAATAACTTCTTTTAACCCCCAATATTTCAGATTTAGGTAAAACACCCCCGCTTATATAAAACTATAATTTATGACAAAATCACCCCCACCCTGACCCCCTGCCGCCACCGCAAACCACTGCCACCGTGAGTAACTCACTGTGACTGTGAGGCTCCGATATGGTCGTTTCTAGTCATATTGATGGCAAAAAACGGCCATATCAGGCTAGATCTAGTTGAAAATTGCTAGATCTATTCTGGCCATTTCCGCTTAGATCGATGGATCTAGCCGTTAACGACTAGATCTTACCCAGATCTAGCCTGATATGGCCATTTTCGACCATCAATATGGTCGGAAACAGCCATATCGAAGCCTCTCAAAGCCTCCCAACGAATCTCGTTCATTTTTAAGGACTCTAATGACTTTCCGATGGTAGTCTGTGGTGGTTGGCCCGCTGTTGGGGTGGTGGTTGGGTGGTGTTGGTGGTGGTGGTCTGTAATTTGTTTTAAATATAAGGGCATTATTGTCCAAAAACTTAATTAAACAAGGGTAAAGTTGAAATGGTATATTAATGTAAATTTATTTTTAAATAGGGGCATTATTGTCCAAATTTTTTATTAATAAGGGATAGAATTATAACAAAAATAAGATTACTAAGGTAATCTTACAATACCTACGAAAATTGAAGTAATCAGATTACCTCAAATATTGCCAACAGTAACAACCACTGGTAATACAAGATTACCAGAATCTTATATTACTTGACAACCAAACAAGGTAATCAAGTAATATAAGATGACATAACCCCAGTAATCTTTCATTACCTCCAACCAAACGCCCCCTAAAGGTGCGTTTGGTTTTGGAAATGTTGGATTACTAGAATCTTATATTACCTTAAAGATTACTGGGAATCTTTAGGAAAATGTGTTTAGTTAGTTGGTGGGTATGCTATATTAATATATTTGGTTATGGGAAATAAATTGGTGGGTATGTTATTTAAATTACTAAATTGCCCTCTTTTTAAATATTAATATAATATTATTTTTATTATTAATTTTTGAATAATTTTTTTAACCCCCAATATTTTAGATTTAGCTAAAACATCCCTGTTTATATAAAACTTTAATTTATGACAAAATCACCCTCATCCCCTGCTGCCACCGCAAACCACTGTCGGAAGTCTTCGAAAGTCATCGTGAGTAGCTCACCATGACTACAAGGCTTCGATATGGCCGTTTCAGGCCATATTGATGGCTGAAAACGGCCACATTATGCCAAATCTGGCCATTAATGGCCAAATCCTTGGCAATTATTGTAGAATATATCTGGTTGCTAATGGCCAGAGCTGGCTATTTTCGGTCATCAATACGGCCGAAAACAGCCATATTGAAGCTTCTCGGAGCCTCCCAACGAATCTCGGTCATTTTTAGGGACTCTGGTGACTTTCCAACAACGGTTTGTGGTGGTTCGCCTGCTATCGACGGTGGTGGTTAGGTGGCAGTGATGGTCTGTAATTTGTTTTAAATAGAAGGGCATTATTGTCCAAAAACTTAATTAAACAAGGATAAAATTGAAATGATATATTAATGTAAATTTATTTTAAAACAAGGGCATTATTGTCAAAAAAATTTATTAATAAGGGACAAAATTGTAACAAAAATAAGATTACCAAGGTAATTTTACAATACCTAAAAAATAAAAGTAATCAAATTACCTCCAATATTACCAACAGTAACAACTATTGGTAATACAAAATTACCGGAATCTTAAATTACTTAACAACAAAACATGGTAATCAAGTAATATAAGATGACATAACCCCAATAATCTTATATTACCTCCAACCAAACGCCCCCTA